TCACAATACTTTTTTGTTTATAAGCCTGCATCACATTCTCTATGAATTAGTAAGTTATTGCACATACTTCAGCATCCCAAAAAATGTATTTTACAAAATATAGGTAAAAAATAATAATTCTATATCTGGCAACTAGATATATTCGGGGGGGGGAGGTATTGCCTCTTATAATGCGGAAGACATGAACTGAGGTTTGCATTAACTCTCAAGTGAATGCACTACAATATATTTTGGTACATGGTGTATACAATGCATTACTAATGTATGACACTTAAAATTTATTTAAGAAACAATGTGCCAACATTAAAATTTTAAATACAACAAAAGCTTTCAGTAACAAATCAAAGTTTACATAAATCACTCTAGATGCACTAATATCAGCACCCACAGGGGGAAAAACATTAAACAACTCAAAAAATGGACAAGTATACCCACACCAAGAGTATGGAATATTCTGAGGGGGAAGAATTAAATACTTCTTCAAGTGAAATGTGGAGGGGAATAAGAACTGAAGAAAAATTTAGTCACTTCCAGAGTTAAAAATTCCAAACACCAATCATGGGGTGAATATGGATTGTCATCAAACAGAAGCTACATATATACTAAATATCAGTAAGCCACAGCAGCAACTAATATTCTGTTATGCAGTCAATTAGAAAAATCTCAAACACTGCTAACTTTAACTACACTGCTGACTTTAATACTGGATATTCCTCACCAAGTTCATAACTGTTTCTTCTTCCATCAATATGAAACAAAAATACAATAATTTACCTAGCTTAGGAATAAGAAATGTTAACACTGCAAACGTGTTCATATTCAAAATTAAAACATAAATGCTAAAAAAAAATTATATGAAGAAGAACCCCAACACAAGTCATACAACTGCAACAAGTATTCTCAGCTTTTCTTCCAAATAAACAAAGTGCAAAGCCAAATAAAGACACCAAAAACAAATTCCATTTAACAGATCATATAGACTAATGAAATCAAACATCAAGTGTTTAAAACTCCAAGGCAAAATGTTAAAAATTTTTCAGCATCATGACTGACAAAAAAGTTACTTTTTAAAAAGCAAAATATACACAACTTGAAATACAAAAAACAACAAAAGAAAAATATCCTCTGAAAAATAAAATTCAATATTTGGAAGAAAAGATTAAATGATTATAAACTTCTCTTTAAGAAACACTAACAACTGCATATAGTAAATAAAATAAGTCAAATCTCATTTTGTTGTTAATAATTGGAAATACAACAAGTATTTTTCATGGATATATTTACATTCTGATAATATTCTGTTATGAATATATACATAAATGATAATGCACTGAGAGAAAAGAGTTTCAATCCGTACTTAAGTCTGAAAAGAGAAAAGGCAGGAATTTTTTGCTAACATAAATTTTAGAAGGCCCCACCCAAGGTGTTCAAAGCATTTAATAATAGCCATATATAGGCTACAAATAAACTTGCCTAAAACAGTCACTCCGGGAAAATATTATTTCTTTAACAAATATGAAACTATATAAATCTTGGCTATAACACAAGATTTTATGTTAAGAAGGATATTAGCATAGATTCAAAACAATACTATACCTTTCTTTCCATTAAAAAATATACTTACGTTTACAAACATATTCAGAAATATGAAAACCAACATATTACTTAAGTGTATCCATACTTCATTATATGTTTCTGAAAACATACACAGAGAAACTACACATGAAAATCAAAGAAACTGTTACTTAGGCGCTTTTCAAATGATGCTAAGAATCAAACTCTTACACAAATTTTCTGAATGCTACGAATTAAATCGTTTTGACAAATGCCCTGCAATTTGGTAGAAATCTTTTTTAATTATGTAAAAAATTCTATTCTACCTGCATTAAGAACAGAAAGGATTTGCATGAAGTAGAAAACTATATTTAGCTAACTGAGACAAAAAATATATTTTGGAGCTTTTACAGATTTGCAAAATAAATTCTAAAACTAGATGAATTTAGAGTTAGACTCATATTATAAACTGGAAAACAGAGGGTGAACAAGTTCTGATACTATCAAATGTAATTTTCAGAATGACTGCCAAAATAAATTTTATTAACAAAAATAGGTTGGTTAAAACAGAAACATATATTTAAAGATATTATATATTTTCCTAGACAGAATTTGGTCATTGATCAAAACTCAACAGCTAAATTCTTTAAAAAATTTTCTTGAATAAATTTAATTGAATTTAAAATATTTTTCTTTATGATACCTTTCCCAAAATTTTAATACAGGGAACACTGCAATATATAAATAAACTGCCTTCACAAAATGTACCTTTCTTGAAAGTTTTTTTTATTAAAATATTGAGATAAATTATTAACATAAATAAAAATAGCTGCCAGATTATAAATTAAAAATTCCAAATAATTTCAATAATGAAATTCAGAGGCCTTTACAATACATGAATTTGTGAATTAATTAGAAAAGCATATTTTGCTTTAAAGAACTTAATAAAAAGATTACTTCTTTTTCAAAGTTCTGAATTATGATAGGGCAAAAGTAAAAGGATTCGATAATTTTATTGTTGCACTATTATTTTGGTACATTTGCACATTTTTTAGCTCCATTTAAAGACCAAAAACTGAAAGTAAATACTGACATACATAAGTTGATTTATTCCTTTTTTGTCATTTTACACATAAAATTTTAAGTTGTGTAACACTAGGCTTTTCTTTTCAGAATAAATGATATCTAAACATACAGAATATTGTTAGAAAGTTCAAAACACAGCCACGCAATTAAATTCTTTGATAGACAGTATAAACGTAACTCCTGCAAAGTTACATACAAAATTCAAAAGAAGAAAAACATACCAAAGTAAAACATAAAATTAGACAAAGCAAAACTTGTATTTGGTAAAGATTTTAATCAAGATTATCGATTTCTACAACAAACAGGTGCAGATCCCAGCAAGAGGAACCTGTATCTGTCTGTCTTCGAAATCAATAGTCTTCACTAAAATCTATACACAAAACATAACGTTGTTGCTTTGCCTAATTTTATATACAGTACAAAGACTGAAATCTGGACGTCCATTATGCGGAATGATCCGGACCTCAAAACCACCAACATTTTTCTCCTAGGTCTTATGCATGTGCATTTGATTCCCCCCCCCCATGCATAATAAAACATCTGGAGAGTACCGACTCTTAATTTAACTTCGACACTAAATAAAATATCTTATTATCGAAGAAAAAAACATTTTAAGCATAAATTTATACGATCAGTAATTTGGCTCCATTGCTGCATATCTGCTTTTTTGGCACACATCTCAAACTGAAACATTCCACACAGATACATCGTTGATCTGACACCAACCTGGCAAATCATTATTTATTATATTTTCCTTTCATCACCGCATGTTTATCAAAACGTGACAGCTTGAGTAATGACTCATGTAGCGATGCCTAAACAATTTTTTATGCTAGTAATTGAATAATAAAGGAGTATGGTAACCTTTTATGTTGACATTACCCTTGGCAATGATTACAAATTTAAGTTAAATGCAATAAAAATGTTGACGAGGAAAATTTTCTTTCCACATGCTAAAAATAGATTTTGTTGATCATACTCATAGACCCAAAGATTACATTTAGGGCTATTTGAATTAAGAATAACTGATTTGTTATTCATATAAACCCAGAACCAGTGCCAGGGCTCATATGGCCACATGGAGTCACAGAATTTAGGACCCACAGAGACTGCATCAGGTGGTAAGATATAAATAACTTACATTTAGGGCTATTTGAATTAAGAATAACTGATTTGTTATTCACATAAACCCAGAACCAGCGCCAGGGCTCGTATGGCCGCATGGAGTTGCAGAATTTATGACCCACAGAGACTGTATCAGGCAGCAAGATATAAAGAACTAATACAATTCAAGCTTAATTGTCACAGCTCACGATAGAAGCAAGATAAAATTTAACGGAACAACTTGTCATTAGTCGCCAAGCTCATGATGCATAGCCAAATATGTATATTGAAGGATAACTAAATTTGAAGATGATAGTCACTAATTTTAAAGGTTTTCATATATCGCAAAACAGGTGAAATTTTTCAATTAACGGATTTTGTAAAGAAATGTGGAAAAGTGGTAATAAATGAGGATGATGTAAAAGAAGTTTTTCATTGTGATTACAATGCTTCTCAATCATCCATCAATTAATGAATGGCGAAATCTGTAGTATGGTTCTAGATCCTGAAAATACTGCCATGGATAGTGAAGAAAGTGACAGAGAAGTTACTGAAAACAAGAAAATTCTGATTGACAAGTTAGTCAGAATTCTCGAAACAGCAATGTAACTAAACAAGAGATTATGTCTGTCTACAGAATTAGAGCGAAAGTATTAGCACAAAAAAAGGAGCAACTTACATTGAAAGAAATGTTTAATAATGTAAACAAATAAATATTAGGCTTTTTTGCTAATTTTGATACCCTTTAGATCATAAATACCTCATTATTTCATAAATCACGATTTCTAAATTTAAAATGATGATCTAATATATGGAAAAATCCCAAATCGGGAATTGCCGAAGACCTGACGAGTCCGGATTTCGGACTTTGTACTGTATACATAAATATTTAAAACTCAGCAGAATGCAATATAAAGAGAATAAATGAAGCTAATGTTTAGTTACTTACTTCACTTCAAGTGTATTTGGATGAGCTTTAAAAGTAACGCATTTTTCTTCGAAGCCAAAATATTTTACTCCATTATAAATAAAAGTCTGCTATAAACTAACCTTGTGCATCTCTTTTCCAAATTAAAATTTTTTGATACATAGCACCCATTTTGACCAAATGAATTTGCATTCTATCGTAACTTCTAAACAATCAATATTAAACATTTCACACAGGTTAAATATTACACACACACACACACACACAAAAAAAAAACAAGAAATCAAAATAAGCTTAAAAGAGCAATTATAACATTAAAGTCCTGACAAAAAGTTTAAAAAATATTTTATTTTATTTAGTTTTTACATTCTCAGGAATCTAAGAAACATCACACACACACAAAATATAAATAAATAAAATCTCTCTCAAACTGAAGTATCAATAAAAAATTTTAAATGTGTTTGAAAATATGAATTATGAAGACCACTTTATAGAATCAAATACATTGGACCAATAAATCAAACAAGCTAGGGAGCTTGAAGCATACACATATCTTTTAAGGACATTAAAAATAATATTCAAGCTACAGCTTTTACTTTATGTAAGCTGCTATTAATGAAAAGATTATTTTATTGACATCAATTATCTGGCTCAGGCCTCGTCATTTTAAAGACATATTACACATGCACTACTTTTAAATAATTTACGAACAAGATAGAACGGGACTTCCTCTCAGAAAATACCTAATCATTAATTTAAATCTGTTTATAAATTAATTGCTTACGCTTCCCAGAAATCAAGCAAAGCTTAAAAAGTACTCCAGGATTCAGTTTTTCTAGTTTATACTTCCTGGATCAAGTAGTACCAAGTTAGGTTATTAATAGAGGAAGATTTTAATCACATATGTACAATCTAAACTTCAAACCAGAAAAGGATTTAAATCTTTGATCAACCAACTAGCTTTTAAGACTTGCAAAGCAACAGTCGCCCCTTAAAAGCCAGAAAGATTAATTCACGCAGATCTCTTCAGAGTTCTCATTCTTTTTATTTTCTGCAAGGAAGAAAGGAGTAGCAGGTTTAACAGCAACAGTAATTATAATTTCTGAATTTGACATTATTATAGCTTTAATGTATTTTTTAGAATTAATTAAATTTTTTAGAATATGCAACAAATAAATAGAATGTTAAGAATAAAATGTAAGCAAAACTTTTTTTACTGCAACAGACATAAAAATTTATATGCAAGTGCCAAGCACAAATGAGCTGTGAATCTGTATCTAGAAAGGAGGAACTAGTTAGACCAAAATAAAAAATTATGAATGGTGAAAATCGGATTCATCTACTCTCACACGGCAAGTCAGTGGTCCAAAAATTTAGATCACATAAACTGGTTTCCATAGAAATAACACAAAATATTCTCTGTAACGAATTTATATACAAATCATATAAATCAAATGTTTTCAAAACCCACTATTTTAATATAATACATGTATTTTCTTTCTCATTTCTTCAGTTATAATATTTACATGATTTAATAATTCAAATTTCTGAAGTATTTCAATTCACTTAATACATTAAATTTTTGATGAAATATACATGTTATACACTCTTGAGTAAAGATGGATGGATATTCATATTAAATTTCTTAATTGATATGAAAATAGTTTTTGCAAAAGCGCAATGATCTCCCACTTATTATCATAACATGGATTCAGTAAATTAAAAAAACAACAGGTAATATGTTAAAAAATCTAATTTTTAAGCATTTTCACATATTTACATTAGTAAAAACAAGTTGCTTTTTCATTATTTTAACACTAACTGTTCAAATATTGCATAGTTATCAGATGTTTGTCCAAAAATATAAAATATAAGAAAATAATGTTACACATCAGAATTATTGCTTTTAAGAATGCAATATACATACTCCTCTTAATTTTAAATTAGCCTGGGCCAAACAATAAAATCAGATCTTTGAAGAGTTATTATCTTAACACTTTTTTTATATTGATATATACATCACATGCAAAATATATTTCAAAATAGAAACAGAATTATACATATTTCTTAAAAACAAAATTATATACATTAACATTTGATAATTCAAAACATCACAGGCATGAAATTGTTTTACTTAATGCAATGTGGAGAATATTCTGTTTAAAAAAAGTTAAGATATTAGTTTATAATTTACAATAAATTTTCTAAAAAGCAACACTATATAAATTTAAGAATAATGAAATTTAATAAATTTACACACATGAATATAAAATAACAGAAGCATTTTAAAAGTGATTTAACAAAAATTACTGATTTTCATTTTAAAAAAAAATTCACAGTATGATTAACCAGGCTATGTGAGACACAGAGACACACAAAAATCAGTATTATCAAACTATAATGAAAATCACTTTGTTCCTGAGGCAGCTGTAACATAGTTATAAAAGTATCATTTTTCACCAACTTATCTGAAATTTTCCAAGTTCTTACTTTTTTTTAATAAACATCACAATTTGTAAAACTCACAACTTAAATTAAAGCAGATCTAAAATATATGAATACTATATAAAAGTATATTACATTTGTAAAATATAAATAATGACTTAGCTATTATACAATGAATACATAAAACCAGAATAAACACTAAACTGTACAACTATTCACACATTTCTTTAAAACAGAACCTAGGAGATGTGCTAGATGAGAAACAAAGTATACTTCAAGAAATGGGGAAATGTGATGTCAATAGCAGCACAACATAGTGATGGTATTCAGGAACAAACAAACAAACAAAAAAAAAAAAAAAAGAAATGAGAATGAAATGACTTTCCCGTCCCTCCCAATTTAAGTACGAAAGTTCTATATACATGTACTAGAGTTAGAACTAGTCTTCCAAGATTCAAGTTTACTAGTCTCTTTTATAACATCTGCATTTCCTTTGCACAAAGTTCCTAATGACACTAAAGCACTTGCTATTCCAAGACCAGACTGGCCAGCTGGAGTGTATTCTTCCTCTCCAGGTGGTAAACGCACAATCAATGACAGCACTGCTGCTTTACCACCTGAGCAAGGCTCTAAAGCAATTGGAGTAGGATGGCACTAAAAATAAATAAATAAATAAAAATTTGCTATTTTAAAGTAAGAAGTCATATTCAGTGTCTTATTGGCTTCACAAAAAACATAAATGCATTAAAATATTAAATGTTATAAAAATATGAGAAAATTCTTAATTTTAATAGAACTCTTGGCAATGTGTTCTAGTAATGATTGTGAATAATGTAATATTTAATAGCAGCAGCTGAAATGTATGCATGAGAAAAGCAATGAGAAAAGCAAGATTCCACTAACTGGAATTTACAGGTATGTATCACCTAAATTGCAACTGGTAATTAGTATTTCAGTTTCATATCAGAAAATTTTGAATAACAGAATTTAAAATAGCAATATTTTTTAAATGATGTACATGCTGATTCATCATTTTCTACTGATTCACTCTGACTTAATTTATCACATTTTGCAAATCCATAATCTATTCAAATTTGCAGAACATGATAAAAGTTCATTTTACTATAACTTTGTACACGCAGGGTGATTTGCTACCAGTGCAACAAATTTACAGATATACGGGGCACAAAGACGATTCAGAATCACATAGCAGTGCAGAGTTGGAAATTCCTTCCTTATATAGTAGAGGACATTGAACAGGAGATCTTGTAAACAGTGATCGTGTTGGAAATCAGCATTTGTAAGCCACTTTGCGAGGCAACAAGATAGATGAGTATTCAAATGTTGAACTGGCCGACATGCACCTTGTGTATGGAGAAGCTGCATATGATAATGGGCACACCACTCTGTGCTTGTACTAAGAATGTTTCTTCCACAGGTGTGCCCCTCATCATATGATCTTTGCACGTCTGCACAGGTTAATATGAGGAAACTGGTTGCTTCATGAGACTTACCAAAAATCAATGATGCCAGACAAGGTGGAGAATGTTCTACATCTGGCACAAGGCAATCCAAGTATGAGTACTCGAGTGATAACAATTCGGTTTCTCCTAATACATTGTATAGAAGATACTGTCAGGAGACCAAATACATTCATATCATCTGCAATGCATCCAAGCATTGCAGCCTGCAGATTAATCACTCCAGAGAAATTCTGCTACTTGGTATTTTCAATACAGCACAGCAGATAGTGCATTTGCTGCATCCAAAGTGTTCATGGATGAGGCAATTTTCACAGGAGAAGAAGCCTCCACAGAACATAACACCTATTTGCGGCTTTGGATAACCCCCATGGTACATGAACATGTGCAGCTTAAAGCTGTTTCTCCATCAATGTTTGGGCCAGCATTGCTCGTGACCACCTCCTGGGACTGTATTTTCAGCCCCCCACCATCTGGAGAGTGGGGCATACTTGATCTTCCTAGGTGAAGTCCTGCCTAACCTTACTGAAGAAGCACATGTTCTTCAATAAGTGCACAGGTTCGAATCCCGAAGAAGGCCTAGATGCAAATTGTCTGCCTTTCATAGGAGGTAAGGATGGCCGCCTATTAGGTTCCTCCACAATAAAATGGCCACCAGTTCCAGCCTTAGGAGTGACCAATAACGCTGATAAGGCAAGTGCCCATCGTTCGATATTAAAAAAAAAACTACACCTTTCTCAGTCATTGCATTGCTTCATAAATTTTGCATATAAAAGTAAGAATGTTTATACTTCTAAACCAGAAATTAACATTTTTTTCATAAGAAACACCAATGATCAGGTTCTATATTTTCAGAACTTCATCAAGACTGGAAATGTTTTCATAAAATTCTCTAGAGAAATTCAGAAAACTGAAAAAGCCTGATGCTCTTTTTTTTCTTTCCCCCTTTTTTTGTGTGTATATATTTTTAAATTACCAAACTGCATTTTAACGCTTTGTCAGAAAAATAAATGAAGGCAACAACAGAGAGGAAAAAGGTACAATAACACTCCTCAGTTTGGAAAAGTGACCTGATTGCTAATATGCAAAATGTGTTTAGTAGAATGCACTTTTCCACAAAGGATTTTGATAACATCTATACTTTCTTTAGGGGGAATTCATATCTTTTTAGTTATTCTAAGTGAATTAAATGAAATATTTAACACCAGCAACCGGAATTTTACACAGTACTTTATGCTTAATTGATTCTCTTTCAGAATAATATGTGTGTACACCAAACCAATGTCAAAAACATCATTTATGCTGAGTATATCTATCTATATAGCTGTAACAGCACTGGGGGAAAACATTTTATGTAATTTTATAGATATTCCTACTTATACATTAAGTGATATTAAAGTTTATTTTTATTAATATTTCATACAAAAACCTGTTTAACAGTAACAAAAAAATACTGAAAGTTTCTCTTTTTATATTCGAAAAATTTACAGCAAACTATTTGTTATTCTGGAGATAATAATGACAAAATATTACTGACAAATCTGCAAAGGAAAAGACTGTTAAACAGCCAAGCAAATAAAATAGAGCTGAAGACAACTACAAAATTAGTGCTAGGAAATTTTTTTCTGAGAAATCACAATTAATCGATATCTGTGCAAACTATGACCAATGACTGGATTAAATTCATTATTTAATTATAACAAGGCATACTAAGGTTACCTGCCTAGGGATGAGATGCCTTCATGTAACACTTCCAAGGAGGAAAAATGCACATATTTGTGTTATACATGAGAACATGATAGAAATCCTAAGCAGCCCATTTGTTTAACTGGTAGGAACTGAACAAAGGAAAAACTAGAAGTGTTTTGTAGCTTCAGCAATTTGGCCACTGGTGGGCTAACTTAACTGGGTTATTTAATTATTGCAAAGAACACAATTACCTACTTACCTACCTACTTAGAAGAAAGGATAACATTTTCCTGTTGCACAGCTTTCAAAACTGTGGATATAGTATTTTTGAATGAATTTAAATTGCAAAAATTAAAAATTAGTTCACCAAGCTTTTGTTTGCTTCCTTTTTCTTAATAAACAAATTTTCATTCTAAATCAAGTTATTGATCTGCTTTAAAAATAAATTCTGTTGTTTAAGCTTGACAATCTGGAAGTTTAAAATTTGCACATGGCAAAAGGCAGATAACCTCAATGTACTTTTTCATAATTTAATAATCGATTAATGATATATGTATGTGATGTTACCTATGACGTGAAGCATTGCTTCTGAAGAAAATCACTATGAAGATCCTGCCATTTATCCTATTGTATGATTATATTAGTACATCTCAAACTTGAAAAATTACATCCCTTGATGTAACCATATAAATGCAGTTATTTTACATCATTGTCATGCATGACCAGAGAAAGAAAAGTGAAAATCAGTAATTGGATCAAATATGAAATGAATATCTACAAGTCTTACTGGAATTTGTTGAGCTGCATGATATTAATTGCATATGGCTTATTACAATCTTGAAATAGGATGACACCAATCCTCAGCAGAACTCTCAAACAAAGCTGAATGCCTGCTTTCCTCATGCATTATTTTTTTTAAAAGGCACCATGAAGAAATTTATTGTTTTTACTGAAAATAAATATGTACAAAACTCATATACTGGCAATGAAATGATTACAAATTCTATGCCATAGCTCATCAATGGCTAATAATTACAAACTGAAGATTCCAATCAATAACTCATAAAACACCTTGGTGGTGATGCATGCTTGTAAACTTAAAGGTAGGAAGTGATAAAAATTTTTAATGATCCTGTGACACTTCGCAGGGCATTTTTCATTTGTTGCTCCAGATCTGCGACATTTAGGGTCTGCCATGAAGGTTAATGCAAGTGGTCGCAAGATGACATTACCATATTGTTGAGCTGTTAAAGTTGTATGCATGAAAACAATTATTAACCTGCTGCCACAAAAGATAGCACTCCATCCTATCAGACTAGGAGTAATAGCTGTGTAGCTCTGCAAAACAAACAGTGATTGGGACTGCTGGCCCCGGCTCCTCCACTCACGGACTCTACAGTCATCAGTATCAAAACTGAAGTGGGATACATTGCTCAACACAATGTGATGCCAATCAGCTGGCATCCACGATGAATGGCTGTAACACCAGTCTAGATGACCCTGTCCATATTGTGGGGTTAAGGTTGCAGTGACAGCAAGTATTTTAATTGTGGCTCTGATTGCAACCCGCATCAGTCAAGCACTGTGAGATTGTGCAAGATGCCAAAGGTGATGTGGAAGAAGCTTTGCATTCTTCCCCTCTTTTTTTCAAAAAGAGTATATTTGAAATGCTTTAAGTCATAATTTTATAAGACACATATATCATACAATTGCGGTCAGGCTGCAAGTTTTGCAATTATTTCATTGGAAACAGTTTTCATAATAGTCTCAAATCACTTCCCCATGATAGTCTCTTTTCTTCTTTTTGCCTTTAAGTACATTACATTCTCCACACATAAAGCTATCTTTATTTTTAGCAAGAATAATTAATTATACATCTTCAACTGTGATCCTGAGAAAAGCCTTTTCTTTCAGTTATAAATAATCATAAATACCATTGAGATTCCCTGAAGAATCAGCTATTTAATCCATTTAATGAAGAAATTACATGTTCAATTCTGTTGTGCATAACACTACCTGATCACATTTTTTTTTTTTTTTTTTTTCAAAACCTATTATACATTTCACATTTAGTGCACTCCATAGGAGTTACCAAATCAATTCATTTTTGAATCATTTCCCCCAAATGTGAATATGAGCTACTTGCCCTTAAATGTCCTCCATGAAAGCATCTCTTCGCTCAGGCAGGTATAACTCATATGCTTTTTCATATCTGATTAAGGAAACAAATTAACTGGATTCTGTAATCTGACATTACTGCAGGTGATTATACTGGAAACATGACTGGAAGAATACAAAACTTATCTTGCAAAATAAAAATCTTAAAAGATATTAATGATACAATTTTTACAATAACTGCTATAAAATCTCAATTTGTTAAAAAATCATTCTTTGTAGTAGTTTATCATTTACCAAACTTGCATTAAAAATTGCTACAAAGTAATTTACTTTTAAAACTAAGTATTTCACATTTAATTACCCCTTGCATGGCATGACTGCCTTTAGCCGATTATGAGATTTTTTTGCCACTTGGAACACATTACACTATAATTTAAAGTATTTCATTTTCTTTCTTTAATAATATTAATACATCTTAATAAATGAAACTTCAGAAAACCGAGATTAAAATAAGTAATTATAAAAATTAAGCTAATAAAAGCTGTTTGAGTACAGGTCTGCATGAGGAGATCCAAAAAGCCGTGTCACACAGAGGGTTAAAAGTCAGCATCTGTGCAGCATGCAGCACTTAAAATACTAGAAAGCCAAAAGCCCTGCCAAGAAGTTTGGTGTTAGAGGAAGAGAGATGACAGGCCCTCAGATCCCTCCTTCAAGATGTTCTCCATCAAAATTGTGAAGAACTTCCCCATTTTTGTGGGTATACCATTTTTGTGGGTTGACTGCACTCCTGTGATACACCTTGTGCAATATTCTTAGTTTAATCCTTGCCAAAGTGCATGAAAAGTGCAATTTTAGCTAAAGAGTACCCAAAGATATACTGAATGTACTGTCATGAACTAGCACAATGAGCAATCGGTATTGGCCATTCTTGATTAACACATTCAGCTAAAAGCGTCCAGCCATTTTTAAGCATTTAATTAACTGATTAATTTTAAAAAAAAACTAAAATTGCAAGGGAAAAAAATTATCATCTCTTCTGATTTAGGCAACAAGTATTTAAATGTGATCAAATCCATATAATTTTATGTAGCTAAATTGAGCAATTCCATTTAAATTATAAGTGAGAAAAATGCAAATTATTAACCTTACAAGCTGTCAGCATCAACTGCCATTTCGTCATACATCTGTAAAAGAAGTACTGTTGATTAAACATGCTGAGCCTGCCAAGTTATTAAATTTGTAAATGAATTTAAGATCACAGACATCAACGGCCAATTAAATGCATATGGATAACTTCAAGGACAGTTTCTAAAACCATGACAAATCATTTTAGACTTATACACATTATCATGTTAAGTTGCTACAAAGTATAGAACGGTATTTTACAACAAACAAAATAGCCTGTTCCTCTTTTTTTTTTAGATCAGGATAGCCCTCCCCCCTCCCCAAAAAAGCTTAACATAGCTCAATACCGAATCAGACCCAATGCAGCACAGATTTACCCAATTACCTTTCAGTTCTTGCATAATTTTATCTACGCATACAGTACTTCAGGCATCATACTGACTTGTCACTATGTGATATTTGTCGACACTATCAACAGTATAAGCTAAAACAAATACTGCCATTTACACATGTATAAATTTAACATATCACAGTAATCATGAAATTGGAGAAACCAAAGATGAATTTTGGTTATCAGTATGTTTCAGGCCAAAAGAAATCACTGCTAAGATTGCAGAGTCAGATCGCAGACCTAAGATTGCAGAAACATTCAAACCAATCAGACCAAGATCACACAGTTCCCATCTCTCTCACTGGCTACTGGTGTTTCCAAAGCTGCTTAGGGAACTAGTTGCACTTCTTAATAAATCCACACTGCTTGTATAATGCACATTTATAGTATAGCACATGTAACCTTATTCCTGACTATCTTACGTAGCACACTGAACTGTCAAATCACTAGTCTGTTTCCAAAAACAGTGAAACTATGACTGCCAGCATTTATAGTTTGATTTTAACACTTAAACATGCATACATGGTGAAATCTCTTAGGTAAGCAGAATTTAAGGTAATACATTGTGCATTGCCACCCATAACTAGAAATAAAATGACAATGAAAAGAAAAATTTACAACTATTTACATATAAAGCATGCTAAATAAAATAATTTCAAGTACTCAAGCATGGTGAATGCTTAATAATAATTAATAACAGTTGAAAGATGATGCTAAACAAACTTTAGAACTGATTTCTTGCAAACAGAATTCATTATGCTTCATTAAAAAGACATAACCTATATGAAAGCACACACAAAAATGAAAATACAATAATCTGGAATAAAATCAGATATAATGGTAAAATGTAAATTGTTAAACATTAAATAGTCATTAATATTTTGCCACTCAAATATGAAAATTATTCAAAGAGCATGGTATGCCGTGCAACATTCCTTGCCATATGGCCATAAACAAGTAAGTTTCAGCTTAAAATTAGTAAAGAAACAGCCTTGTATTTGGCATAAATTTAGATAAAAAACTTAATTGATTTTGAGGGCAAATCTACGTAAAATACAAGACTGTTTCTTTACTAATTTTTAGTTTCGCTTTGGTATGTTTCTCTTCTGATTTAAGTTTCAGCTTATCAACCATTCTGCAATCTATTTGGGTGGTATTTGAAAGTGCTTTATAATATAACAAGAAACATGTTTGCCACCAGTATACGTAAGCTAATTCAAAAATTTCACAACATGCAAATAGCAAGGACTGATTTATAAAACTAGAGAGCCCCTCCAATTCCCCCCATATCGTAGATATCAGTGATGGGAGTTATATAAAGTATTTCATTAAATAACCTAATAATTCAATAATTTTTCATTTAAATTTATTTAAGCAAAAAATATGCCACACTCATTGTATGCTTTATTTTTACAAGTTATATATTCCACAAAACAAACTTATATTATTTTACATTAGCTTGTTAAACAAGACCTTATTTTTATTGGGGTAAACTGGGGGGAGAGAAACAAGACTTCTTTCAATACAAAAGCCTTAACCCTTTCGTTATGGAAAGTGCATGTACCATTGCGGCCGACTCTTTCTTTGGTGGCTGGAGAGGTTGCTATTGAGCCGAAATCCACAAAATTATGGAAACATGAATGCATTCTTTAATTATATATGTAGAGCACATTTGAAATATGTGCATCATATCTTGTTTATTTACATATTTCAGACACTTTTTGTCTCTTGAAATATTTTTATTTTGCATATTAATTTGTTTTTTAGCATTTACTTAGCTGTTAGTGACTTCCGGCATTACACATTTGACAGCACTCGGCTTAAAATCTATTTTTAGTGTGATAAATTTTAAAATAGAGACCTTTACACAGTCCTATCTTACAATCCCTGCATTCATAATAGCTTGATTTGACATTTTGGTGGAATTTAACAGAAGTGTGAACAAACTAAGCATCGCTGTCACACTTTCTTAGAAATATTATTTGAACAAAGTACTTCCCACTATCTTTGAAAGCAGTTAAGTTTAGATTCTTTTTCTGCAAAACCAACATCTCACCAATTTTTAGTCACTCCTTTCCTTCTCATAACAGTCCCACAAATGTTTTTTCTAAGTCTAAAGAGTTCATGCACCAGTGACGCAGACATGAAAAATCGAACAATATGTAAATGATACCCTTGACCAGAAAGATCTTCAAGTAGTGATTTAAATTCTTTCCACATTATCCCCAAGTTTCTTCTACCTATTTCTCTTCCTGTATAAATCATAAATTTACAAATACAAGCTGATTTAGATTCATATAATTTGTAAAAAAATTTTTGAGTGCTTCAAGCATGCATTAATAATGTAGTTTGTTAATGTAATACAACAGTTCAGATAATGCCTCAGTTTTGAAGAAAGACGGGGGGGGGGGGGGGGGAGGGAACTAAACTACAATATAAAGTTTAAAACTTCATTCCTAGTTCTAATTTTATATTTTTTTAATACCATAAGAGGAAAAGAAATATATAGAACATTACACATTTTAACTACTTTGGGAGGATTTTGAGGTTGCCTGTAGTGTAAATTAGGTAAATAATATAATTTCGAACATGTTATTATTGGCATAGCAAAAATGGCATGATACACTAAATAATAGATATTTATTACCTTCTTTTGTCTATCCTCATTCCCATTATGAGTTGATATGATAAGAAGCTGAGCATCTAGTTCAACAGCAACACCAGCAAATGGTCTGCTAGCCATTTGTTCCATTTCAACAAATAACCTCTAGAAAATAGGAATTGAGTAAGTTTGAAAATAAATACATTAAAGAATCTGTTGCACTCATAATTTTAAGAATCTAGTACATGAAGCATCTGCCACATAAAATATCTTGTATGTAATGTAGAGGTAATATTCTACAATACTATGTGCAAAGAAAGACTTACTGTGAGCAACAGTTAAGACCATTTCAATTTTATCTAGCCAAACATTTAATTATAAAACATTACTGACCTAAATTTTAAGCAGTTCCTGTCATAATTTTTAATTTAATTATAAATATGTTCTATGTGACACTTCCATAATGTCTTTTGTAAAAGCTCCTCCTTAGAATTTACAGACAGTTCAATGAATCCTGGGTGGGGGTTGATGCACATTGCAAGATTAAGAAGGTTGTAGCAGAGTGGCTAATCTTTGAAGCACCATACTTGTGCAGCATGTTAATGAAGAATAACATAATTTATGCTCAAATTCAAGACACTATTACACCAAATAGCCAACTATTGGAAATATTCTACTGAAAAAAAAAAAAAAAAAAAGGTATCAAGAAGTTGTGCAGTCAATGGATTCCTCATTATTTAACCAAGGAGGTTAGAATAGATGGAGTAAGCATGACGTCACAAAATTGAAGCCGAGGAAGGATCGACAGCGTGACGTCATGACTGATGAGCCAGCATGGCTGCCGTGTAGCGTACGGATAAGACGAAAGCTTTGTTTATGATTGTATTAAAACTGCTCAGCCAGATAAAATTGGTGAATGTAGTGAAGGATGTCAATCATTCCCGCTGCTACGCAGCTAATTTCATAAGTAAATGCCATAAACAGGTATTTTAGTATTTCTATTATTCTGACTTTATTGCTACTCGCTATTAGTTCAGCATTGCTTTGTTGATCGTTTCGACCTGATTTTGAGAAATATGGATAGATGTGCTGCACCAAATTGTCAAATCATTCTAGAAATAACTTTAGGATGTTTTGTTTAGCAAAAAATGAAAAAAGATGAAGAAGAAGTAATTCTTTCTAGTCGAGATCAATGGATTTCGGTCGCAGGAGCGTGTTTTTGTGAAGTGCAGCTTCGTATTTTTTCATAGCATATGAGAAAAATTCCCTTATTTTTTTTTTTTTCAAAATGTGTACTTTCATTTAGCTGTCACTTATTGACGCTGAAATGATTTTACAAATATAAAATCAATTGTGGAATGTGTGTGCATTTGTGCAGCAAAATATCGCCAATACTGTTTTTTACTGTTGCTAATAGTTTATACTGTTTGTAAAATTGTATTCTATATTTCATGTAAACTTTGTCTCGGTTGGGATTGTAATAGGCGTTTTTTTATTTAAATTTTACTGTACGAATAGTGTATTAAAGGTCTATGCTGTATTTTGATTCTGATGTATTGTCGCCAAATATATCAGTTGGCGCCAGTCTTAAAAATTGGTAAGTATAACATAAATTATAAATTGTTTAGGTTATTCTGTATAGTGAGAGGTAAATATATTCTGTGTCCTTCAGGAAGCTTCATAAACTTAATTATTTATTCTTAATTTTGTCCTATTTTCATATAAAAGTTAAAATTTTTCACAAAATTTCATTCTTAATAGTGTGATTAAATTCATTTAGTACATGCAACTGTAATTAAATACTAGTGTTTTTGATTTTAATGTTAAACTTCATACATGCTTTTGTTAAATTTGAAGGTGCATTTTGAAGAAAACCAGTTTGAATGTTCTAGGAAAGATGGGTTTAAAAAACTAAAGCCTTGTTTAATGTGCCTAATCCAACACAACTGTTGACCCCCACAGCATGTAAAAGGCATTGGGTTTACCAAACTACCATTCAATGATATCCAGTTTTTAAAATGTATGTTTTTTTAAGTTTTATAGTTTTCATAAAAAATGTTTCATATTAAAAATGGATTAATTTGTTTTATAAATAAATCAAAATATTGAAATTCAGGCATTATATGATTTAAGCTTTAATTTCAGTGCTTAAGAATAGATTAAAAATTGAAATTTTTAATAGATAATAATTCATAATACTGTTTAAATTTTGCTGTTATATATATATATAATTAAATGTGTATTTTATTATAATAATCATATTTAAAATGAGGCATAAAAGCAACCTCAATTTGATATAGTTTTTGATTAAAATTACTGATTTCGAGGCCTATCAGACACAGGTCTCATTTCTTCAGATTTGCCCCTAAAAAAGAGAAACCTGTATTTGATTGCCTTCAAAGTCTACAGAGGTTTGTTCAAAATCAGGATTAAACTAAAATAACTTTTTTGCTTAATTTTAAATTTTACATATATATAGGAATATGCATTAAGTAAGCAAAAGAACAGTATTATTGAAAGTAATAATTTTGAGTAATATAATAATATGGTAATGTATGTTTTAATGTCCTATATGTCTTGTCTAAGTCCTCGCTTTCAGAAGTGGGGCTTCATTGTTTAAATAATGTAAATTCCTCACCTATTATAAATTTCAGATTTTACATAGAAATATCATACAAAGTAAACTTGCAGTACTCAATTACATTATTGTTTCCATCATTATTGGATTAATTTGAAGTTAGTCATTAAGGTTAAGTATTTATAAAATGTTTGTATTTTGTTCACAAAAACTTCCATCATGTAGCAGTTACTTTTATGTTATGGAAGATGCTAATAAAAGCAATGTATTTTATTTATTTACTTACTGCTTTAAAACAGGTTTTGAATTAAGGCTTTCCCCTTCCTTACAGTATGCACATAAAACTCACTTAAGCTATATTTTTAACATATTAATGAGATATATGTAAATAAAATATGTCTCTTAGGGTAGCTCCTTTAATAGGGGGGAAAACTGAACTAAAATGGTATACCTTAAAAACATTTTATTGAAAACAAAATACTATCATAACAATGTTGGCTAAGATTTATTCAGATGGTTTTTTTGCATTTATTCCGGCATTTCCCCATAAATTAATATAAATAAAATTTCAGGTAAAGTAGGTCTAGCATTATATCATTCTATACAAAGCTGTTGACTTTATGTATATTCTACATAAAGGCGTTGACTTTAATGGAAAAAATCCAGTTACTGTGTTTTAATAAAATTTGATTATAATAAAATGACTTGCACTGTGTTAGAAAAAAAGAGTGAAAAATAACAATTTTTGTTTTATTTTCACTATAAGTACAAGTATTTTGCATATGTTTGTTATCAAAAGATGTAGATTTAAAGCTAAATAATACTTTTGTTTTTACTTATGCAAATTAATTAATAAGGATATTAACTAATTATAGAATTATTGGTACTCTTCTGTTATCGGGACCGGATTCAGAAATCTCTATATGGATGTATATTGAATGTATGTATATATGAACCATGCATATGTATGTGTGTATACATACATTTTTGATTTCCATCCCGATAACAGAAGAGTACTGAATTATCATTAAATATTCAGATATGTGCAATAATATATTAACAACATTGTTTCACGAGAAAATAGTAAAATTTAATTAATTTTAATAATTTTCTTGTGCCATTGCTTCAAGGAATGAAATTTGAATTTAACAAATATTCACTATTTCTATAAAGCAAATATAAAATTCTCTACTCATATAAAGCAAATATAAAATTAAAATTTTAAATTTTATGTATGTTTTTTCCCTTGTTTAATTCATAAATTTACCAGTTTTTCTATGTACTGTATAAAGTATTTTCTCAATAGCAAATGTATCGGTAAATAGTGTCTAAATTTTGTGTGGAAAGGTATTCTTTTTATTTTTTATTTATTACTTTTTAAAATTTTCTTTTTAGCTAAATAAAGAACAAAAATAGTATTTTTGATATGGAATTTTTACATTGCTAAATTTATATAAAAATATATTTTTAAAATATAGATTCCCACAGCCATTAGAGCATTGAAATAGTTTTTTATAGCATTCTGCTAAAACATCAAAATTTAAAGGTGTATATCTCAAATCAGTATTTAAAATCATAAAACTTTTAGCTACCTTTTTCTGGATATGCACACAAAATAACATTTTTAACCAAATTGTTGCAATAATAAACATTCGATTCCATGTGAGCAAACTTCAAATTGCATATTAAAAATGATAAACAAGAAGTAGATTAAAAACGAAAAACAAGAATTATTATGCAGACAAGCTATTAAATTTTTCAGAAGTTTAAAATGCAAACTTGCTAGATATATTAAAGCATCAGCATGTATTTATCCACTTAGCATATAAAATTTGCTTACAATTTTAGAAAAGTAACTTTTGATTCAGAAAAGCTTTAGAAACTTAAAAATTACTGAAGTTTTCTTCATACAAATTTGTAGCCACAGCTTTAATGTTCTCTAAATAATTTAACATGTAATGTAAATAAAAGTAATATGCTTAACTCCATCAGTACTGAAATGGTATAGTTAAGATATTAAGAATTATCATACAAGTACTGTATTGAAAGGCTTATAATTTTTATATAATACATGAAACTACCTTGAATTATAAAAGAAAAGTAGTTACATAAATATGAAAACGTGATTTCAAACCCATTATAACCTCATGGAAATTAAGAATACAGCTGCGGGAAATCTCTTGTCAAAAAGTACATTTTTAGTTGTCTAACATTATGCATGTATTGTATGCATGTATGTAAAAGTATAAACTGAAAATTCAGAAGTAAGTTGACAAAAAAGTTTTTGTAACTTATATATGAATTTGAAGTATATGTGAAAATGTTTTAAAAACGCATCATGAATCATATGAGAAATTCGTCATTTTAAAAAACTACGAGAGAGAAGTCACACATCTTTATATGAGTGCGAAAAATCGGAACTTAAGATTCTCTAAAAGGTCCTCTAAAATGTTAAATAATTAAAGTTTTAACTAATACGGCTAAAGAGCCAAAGATTGGCCCCCAACCGAAATTGCAACCCTAAAGGGTCGCAAAAACATGGCTGACGACTCACACATATCAGTCGTGACGTATCATGGCTTCATTTTCATTGCATGGGAACATACGGGGAAGGCTTACTCCATCTATTCTAACCTCCTTGTATTTAACCGTCCAGCAAAACAGCAGGACCACCATAAGCAGAGTAGTAAAACCACTGAAAACAGGTACTTTAACCTGGGTTTATATCTCCACAGATGCACTGGCTTCATGGGCTTCATGACATTCACATGTAATATAAATATAAGACACTTTTCCTTAGAAGGGTCATTCATGTAGCCATCCCTTCTCTTAAATATACAGTCCACAAGTTCTTTGCTATGATGCAAATAATCCAACAAAAATAGGAAAAAATAGACTTCAAAGATTTAAGAAAGGATGCTTTAAAGCGATTTCTAACATTGTAAGGTTTTTATTAATCTACTAATTATTAGGACTTGAATCTTTACTATAACTTCTTTCCATAGTCAACAGAATGCAAATACATTGTGTGAGTATTTAAGTCAAGGGTTTGAATGTTTAAGTATTAGAGCTTTTGGCAGCCTCAGTTTCAGTTTACATTCTACTGCCAGCTCTGCGAAAGTTAACTCTGGCTTCATCTATTTTGCTAGACAACATTAAAGCACAGCATCAAATATGTAGACCACCTTAAGTAGATCATCTGTGCAGTCTCCGACTACGTTACTGGAATTTGATTCAAGTTATTTTAAATACCCACAAATTAGTTTTGTTTTGCAAGTTATCTGTTAATTTTAAAAAAGTTACTTAACAGGTTATTTAAACCTTCATAGGATTTTGTCAATTTAATTCATGCTGAAGCAATAACTCACTTGTCAGTCTAGCTGGGCCAGAAGGTCATTGATTTAAACTTCTACAAAAGTGGAACCACACATTAATTATAACAGGAGATGAATCTTGATTTTTTTCAATATAATCAAATCAAAACTGTGCGGGTTTTTCTTGACAAAGATCCTTCTACTAAGGTCAAAAGAGGAAGTTTGGAAATTAAATGGTCTGTTCTATCTTCCCTGTAAGTGAACGTTTTAAAACTGTTATATTAGAAAATCAATGATTGGTGACTTTTGAATGATGACAAATGTAGTAAAAAATAAAAATTACAACCTCAAACTAGATAGTAACGAATCCTACTGCATCTTGAGAATGCAAGAGCTCACTGAGAAACAGAGGTGACATTTCAATATCTAAGGAATTCAGGGCTTGAAGACACTGCTACCCTTCTCATAGCCCAAATTTAACTTCAAGTGATTTCTTCTTCCTAAACCCTCAAAAAATATTCCTATATTAAGATCTGACACACCTATGCTGGCTTGCAGATAATTTTTAAACAGCATGAAATGATGAAAATCTATTCTAGCAAAAGGGAAAATATTTCAAGAAAATGTAATACGAAATGCTTTGACATTTACCTTATTTTAATACAAATTTTCAAGATATTTAAGATGAACCTCATACAGATGATAGACTGCAACTGTTATGATGCAGTCTGTATGTTGTAAGTTTTGTGTTAATTAACTGATTATTTTATTATTTGATCTATAATATCACTTCTACTTTCATCAGACCTTACCATGATGGAAAAGAAAAAATTTCTTGAAAATTAGAGAAAGACCTTTGGCAGCAATGCTGACAATTGAGATATTTTTTTCATTCAGCTCTATGGGCTACTGCAGACAGACGATAGTTGAGTTTGCAGCTGTACTTAAGTTACAGTTATCCAATGCTTTATATGCTTTTGTTTTGTGAATCTTCAACAGTAATTTACTTCAATTTACATTTTACGTTACAAGCAAAGGTCATACATTTGATTGGTTTAAAGCTTTTAATAAAAAAAAGTTATTAAAACCTTTTCTTGGAATGTAGTACTTTATTAGACGGGCAGGAAATCATCTGTTTGTCTCACTAGGGACCAAGGTTAAATAAAACTAATGAAGTCATGTCCTATGGTCTTATAAGGGGCTATGCTTTGAAGATTCCCTTATCAAGCATATATTAATTCTTTTAGTTATTCACAGAAAATATTACTAACTTCATTTAAAGATCAAACATGTTCAAGAGTTTCCATGAAACAAATGAAGTACCAAGAAAACACATATATACAAAATAAAGATGAAAAAAGTTGATTCATTAAATATGATGCCTGGTTCTTTGGGGCTGATACAATACAAATTATACGTTAAGAAATTTGATTACAGAATAAGTCCGAAAATCTGCAACAAAATATATCTTTTTTCACTAATAAAATATGGTTTATTAACATAAAATTATCCTGCATAGTAATACAAATTATGATATAAATGATCTTTACCATATAAATTATAAAATTATAAAAGGATTAAAAGCAGTTGAATGAGTTCCACACTGAAAAAAAAAAAAAAAAAACTAATTTTAAATTAAAAAAAAATATGAGAAGCACAAGCTTTTAAAAAGTGCAGAAAAATATGAGAAACCACACATTATTGTATATTAAATGTTATTGTTATATTAAATGTTTAACATCCAAAAATGTTTTTTTCCCCACTAATGTTTTGTATCTATTTCCAACGGCATATAAATAATTCAAAATTAAATTTTATAATAAATGTACTTGTAAAATTTTACATTCAAGTATCATAAACTGTTGCACTTACCTGCCTTCTTCTATACAAATCGTATTTTTGTTTTATTTTCCACATTACAGCCGCCATTATCAAAAGTGACAAGAAGCAACTAAAAAGAAAATCAATTTTTAAGAAACAAATTTATCATAAAATTCCCAGATATCATTTTCCTACCTTTATGCTACATGTCAAGTTATTACTTTTTAAACAGACTGATTTTGTAAACTAGTGTATTTATACTGATCCTTTCAAAACCATCTGAAAAAGCTATCTTTCAGAAATAAGAAAAACAATTTTAAATAATATTAAATTATTAAGTAAACTATTAAAATATCTGATGAGGGCTTTAGATTAGAGCCAGACTGCCTAAAACTAATCTACAGGCTACACCTGTAGTACACCCAGTGGCAAGTTGAAAGCTTTAGATTACACTCAAACAATAACGATGGGGTTCTGATCCCAGTGCGTATGACTATATTTTTTTAATTTGAATGCAAATTTATTCACAAATTTTTTAAACTGCAATATGAACAATGGAATTCAAAATTTTTATTCTTTATGTGGGCAGTTTTACCTGTGCAAGATGGCTTGAAAATCCTTGATATATTTACAAAATTAATTTTGAGAAAACGTATACATAAGTAGGGACACACAGTAATTAAAAATTAAATAATTAAGAGTACTTTAAAAACTTTTTAAATTTCAAATGACCCAATTTTGACCTCGAAATTGATTGAGATTTCACAAAATCTACGCCGAATACAAGGTTGTCGATTTACCTGTTTTATTTTCCACGTCGGCGTGTTTCTCTTGCGTCTTAAAATGAGAGACTAATGAGAATGACGAATATTTCAAAATTTATTACATGAATGGCTAGGTAAATGAGATTGCTGGAATGCATTTGACTTGAAACTGATGAGCAATGAAACATTTACATTTCAAAGACTGGTAACTGAGTGATAATTTTTTAAATTATTGTTCCCATCAGGGAGCTTTTTTCTATCATTTATATAGTTTTCCAACAATTAATTTTTTACATGTGTCAAGGACCTCAAGACCACATCACTGAGAATTTATTTTATTTTACTTATTTGCATGTGTGTGCAAGTGCACACTGAAAATCAGAAATTGCCTAACCAACAGTTGTATTCTTTGACGCATGATCAACTGAAACATTCTTTTTGAAGACATTGAAATAAGCCATATATTATTGTATCAAATTTGTATTTTAGATATTGATGTGGTAGGCACTGATATTCAAGAAAATCATTCATTATGAAAATTAAATATTAATGATGTCTAAGTGAAAAAAGAGAAGAAAATTTGAATATGACATGAATAAAATACATAGTATCAGCTATTTTAGTCAGGACAAGATGAAAAAATGCATCTAATTAGCAGAAATACTAATTCGCTACAATAAGCGAAACATTTTCAGCATTCTTTTATTAGTGTAATGATTTAATTAAAAACAGAGAGAATATAAATTAGTAAGTACAAAAGTAATAAATTAGACTTTAAGACTCTTATCTCCCTCTCAGGTACATAGCTCAAGTGCATTACATTAAGTAAGGAATTGTTTCCTAACATTTAATAATCATCATCATGTTTCCTAACACTTAATAATCATCATCGTGTTTCCTAACATTTAATAATTTAACATCATCATGTATCCTAACATTTAATAATTAAATTAATTTCCATTTCAAATAGGGAAAAAAACCTACGTGCTTCACAACACATACCTAGAAAACGTGATGAAGAATTGCAGCAGATCTAACTGTCTGTGCTGTGAAAATGATATCTGCAATACAAATGGGGTATTAAAGTTGAACACATAAACGTAGAATGTTGAATTGTCTGAGCCAAATATATGCTCATCATGTGAGAAACGAAGCTTGAAAGTTCCACATTTGTGGTTTTCATCCAGGAACTTTTCAGGAGATGATGCTAGAACAATAGCAGATAAAAATAAGTATTTACCTTTCACAGTTTAAAAAGAATAATTAATTTTGCAATTAACAATTCAAATTTGATAGAAAAATCTTTCCAATAAAATACACTCAATTCACAACTAATGCAATCAAAAGTATCTTTAAATAGTCACAGATTTACATGTATACTATCTAGTGTAAAAATAAAGATTTTAAAAGATAATAAAAGGACCTTTAAAAACAAAATTCAGAGAGAGAAACAAGATTATGAAAAGGATTTATTTTAAGCAAATTAATCGTTACTCGCCGGAACAAGTGTTTTGAAAATATAATTGAACTAAAACTACTGTAAATGCAATTCATATAAATAGTTCACTAGCATCTTTACTATAACTAACAAACTAACTTTACTATAACTGACAAAGCCCATTTCAATTTCTGTCAGGCACAAAAGTAACCAACTAGTATGAAGAATTTTTGCAGTTCTATTATCTTTTTCCATTTTCTAAACTTTCAGAGAGAATTTCCTTTTTGCCATTTTATTGTTTTGCCATTTGCCCCAAAAAATTTACAATTTACACCAGAACATTTCCTTGGCAATAGTTTTTCTACCAATTTTGCCTGCCAAACTGGTTAACCCAACATTTCAAATTTCCCAGGGAACCCTATTTTTGGTCAAAAAGGAAGCATTAAAATGGCCACATTCTTTAGAGACAATGAAATAGTATTGTCGCGTTTTTCTTCTGACACCAGTTACATTATTTTCTTCCTTCGTGTTCGTAAGGGGTTCGTGTGGATTTGGAGTGAATAACGATGACAGCACTTGATGAAGCATCAAAACACATTTTATTTACCAATATTAATCAGGACAGCATCCAAAACACTTTTACAGTCGTCGAAGATCTACTATAAACACTCTGGCACAATCAGCGACATAGCCTTCACACTATCAAGCTATAACGGTCGAGACAGCTTCACCGCAAAGCACCAGAGTACAGCTCGCAACTATGCTTGGTCATTCTCGGAACTCCACATACTCTCGAGACTCTTCAAGCTACAACTTGCGATGCACTTGACGACACACAGAGCACAGCTCCCGACTCTTCGGTTCAGTCATTCCTGGAGCTTAACACGCTCTCCCCACGATGCACTAAGAGACTCTTCGATGTACTTGACGACCAACTTGGCACTCGACTTCGAAACACTCACTCAATGACTGACTATTAGCTCGCTAGACGAGGCACACACACTAACTGAATACTGACGCGACACACTATCTCGCACTCTGACTCTCCGCTACCAGCAGGGTTTATATAGTTTTTGGCTTGTGTTCGAGAACACTCTGGGCTTAACCGGCGAGAATTCATTCCAGAAGTTCTCCATCTGTCCATGGCACATCGGCAATTTTGTCGCCAAATGGATGATTTCTCGCCAAATGTGGCAACCCTCCCTTCCCTTGCCATTTTATGGCAACCCTAAACCTGCCTTGCGGGGAAGCCATCTTACTGTGCCTGGACATTTCATAACAGTATGTAGTTAATTTTCAGCTTTCTCAATTTCAATTTGTTTTTCGGTACAAAATTCATGTAACTCTTTTTAAATCTAGATTCTAAATTTTAAATCTTTATTCAGTACTTTTAAATCTTTATTCAGTAATTTTAAAATTTTTACTTTCAGTAAGTATTCTGTGTTTTTATATTAGAGCACATTTTTCCACATCTCTTGTTTAATTAGCTACATTCAATTAACTTTACAATGTTATCACTTTTATTATACAAGTTCAACAGATTTTTTTTGGGGGGGTGTAAATTCGCTTTTACTATTTTAACCGTTACATAACTGAAAATTCCAAAAAAGTATAGGGGTATAGATTTTTTATTACTGAAAGCACTCTTAATTAAAATATATCAGGGAAACCTTTTAACTATGAACACTGATGGACATCCTTTTAGAGGGCTCCTAGATGTAACAGAGAGAAAGAGTTCTAATATTGCCCAAGGAAGTCTGATGATTTACTTTGTAAAATAATGTAAAAATTTACATATAATGCAATTCTTACATACATTTTTTTAAAACCGTAAATTTCGTCATTTATTGGAAATGCGCACGGCAAAAGGGAAGTTTTTTTCCTCTACTACCACAGTAAGTTTCAAAGTCCTAGACGTGCGCTGGTTTCACAGTGTGACCACCACCCACAGAACAATGGGCAAGAGTATATATTTTTAATTCATATATTACGTGTCTCGAGGATCATAATATTCAATTTCTAGAGTTTTTAGTAAAAAAAACTATAAAATAATATAGTGCGAGTCAAAGGGTTAAATTACTTGCAAAGGGAGGAAAAGAAAAAAAAAAATTTTTTTTTGACATATATTCAAGCAATTCACAAAAAATGCTAAAAATATACATTTCTGAGCAGTAAGAATTAGAGTTAAGCTAGGATTAATAACTTCTCAAAATTTTAATACAATAATGCACACTTAAATGATAAAATGAACATTATTTGTCTCCTGAGTGGACTACTTAACAAAGTTAGATGGATGCACAGAAAGGTTTATAAATTGTTTTGAAAATTATAATTTATTTACCAATTTATATTATTAAATTGTGTAGTACATAAATGACAGATATATTTCACTATAGTACATAATATCACTTATAACTAACTTATAACTGTACATAATACTAACAAAACAAGATACAGTATTAGAGAACACAAATAACATCATAATTTGAAAGATGAAACAAAATATCATTATGATTAGAAAATCTGAGCAAAATACCAAAAAGATACATACAGGATGCAACAGATATATTGACCAGAGCTGAGTCAGAGCAGGATATTGTAAAATCTACATCAACATCTGGTTTAACTGGTATGTTCATGAAATTAATATTTGTATAATACCGATCTTCAGGTTTGGACATGTTAAACGTATACTGGAAATCGATGGACAAATTATCTGAGGAAAGGAAAAAAGATACAGAACTGGTATTAGAAACCGTTTTCCAATGGACTCTGAAATTGTTTTATATCAAATATATTTTTAAGAAGTATTAAAGTGAGCTAAAACATAGCTTAGAACCATTTAGTTAAGAATTATAATTTATGACTTAGAATAACAAATTGTATTAACAGAAATACAATATTTTTAATCACAAAAAAAGGGGGAACAAAAGATACAGCTACTGGATGCTATTAAAAAGTTAAAAAAAAAAAAAACTGTAACAAACAATTAAGTATTCTGCAATTACTTTGAGGAATGACTTTTAGATACAATATTAGATTAATTCTTGCCTTGCAAATGATTTACACATAAATTCAAATTATTAAAAAAAAGTAACAAAAACATCAAGCTAATATTAAAATTCATTAAAAAAACTATATCACATCCATTAAGAACATGCACAGCACTGATTAGTACAGAAACTGATAACTGCAATTTTTTTAATTGATTGGAAAAGTCCTGGTCACAGTTGCTGTCATATCATCAGCTTAATGGCAGGGACCACCATTTAGATGCATTTCACACTTAACACTTATTCAGAAAATTAGAATGAACTATTTGGCAGGGGAAAAAATCCTACTATTTTATTAAGACTATGGAAGCTCAATACAGAAATAATTTGATAAACACAGACAACCCGTTCCTTTTCAGAATCACTCCTCTTAGTTTTAAGCTTCTAAGGAAAAGTAAAAATCCTTTTCAGTTTTCTAACCTCACCTTCACTTTCAAAATAATTACTGATGAATTAACAATACTCAGAAATGAAATTTTATGTTGAACTCAAGAATATCATTTGTGTACCTCTCAGCAGTTGGCAACACACACAGAAGCAAACAAAAAAGGGTGGGACATGGAAGTTATTTCTCTCAGAAGTCACATGCTCTAGCTCTATATTAGGCATGGCCAAACTTTGGCTTCCAAGCCACATGTGATTTACAGTGAAACACTTAATAGTTTTATCCTCAAAAAATAATATGAAACACTGTACTATTATAAGCTTTCCTATAATCAATCATTTATTTAAAAAATTTGATTTCAAAATGTTCGTTGTCCCTTAGTTGACAAAGTAATAAAGAAACAAAAAAAAAAGTAAATTGAAATAAATTTCTGTTAATAGCAATGTTATTTGTAGAGCTTTAAGTAACTACTGAGACAGCAGAATAGATATAAAACACATGGTGCTAATGGTTAACATCCTAAACAAGTCACATAATGAATGTTTACACCTCAAACTAACACTGAAACAAGACAGTATGTGATATCCGGTTTTTATATATATATATGCAGATTAAATTATCTAAGCTGCAATCCCTGCATGATGGTCCTAATGTTACTTGCGGATAAGAAACTAATATATAGCATTTCATGCGAAAATCCTCACAAGTTACACTTCATTTAAAAACAATATCCAAATTTCAATTTATTTGTAGCTGCCTGGATACTTGCATTATATTTTTATTCTTTCCAGAAAAATGTATATGATTTCAGATTAACCCAAAACCACAGGTTTTATTCTTCAAACTACTGCTGCATTCTTCATTCAAATGAATTTTTTTTGCATTACTGCAAAGAATAATATATCTTTCATTATAATTTACTACTCTTGATTAAGTAATTATACTGTTTGGTAATGAATACTACAAATGAACATAATATGCTTTGTTTTCAATATTTAAAAAATTGAATATACCATACGGATGTTTATTTATATATCATAGGGACATACCTTTCTGAAAACAATGCAAGGGCAGCAATTATCCATGCACATTTTAAATAATAGTATTAGATTTAAAAAATGGTAAATCCTTGTTTATTTACTTGAAACGTTTGCATTATAAAGCTATTTTATAATGAGGATATAACTTCTTGCTTGCAGTTCTTAGAAAACATAGCCGTGGCTCCAACTGATAAGCAGTTTGGACATGCTTGTTACACATTCTTACAGCCCCTCCATCACAGTTATGTTGTAAGTGTACTTATGACAAAACGAAGATTTCAACACTCTTCTTATCAAACTTAAAATCTGGAGAAAATTCCACCCTTTAGTGCTAAGAAGTCTATAACTGGTGCTGGCTGCATACAATAATTTAACTTCCTCTGAAAGCTAACATTTTCCTACAAGTAAACAAACACTTCTCACAAAGTTAATGTCTTGCGATTTTCATTTTGCTCTTTCCCTTTGAGAATTAATAAAAGCAACAAACAACAGTGCTAATGTTACTTTCCCTTTTAATTCTAAAAAATAAGAAATTTGTAAAGTTATGACCTCTTTGGTACACCAAATATACTGCTCATATCTCTCTATCTCCCCATTTAATTAACAATACTTGCACATAAATTTGGAAACTTGACAATTAACGAGCACTACTCAATAACAACCCTCTCTTTAAATTACATAAAAAGATTTTTAATTAACTGCCAGTTGAGAAAGAACTTCCTGGTATAAAATGTCAGCCATTAACTTGAAATTATTTTTACATCTTTTACATAGACTACTGTATGAAATACAATAGTCTATGTAATTTAATGAATATCCTTTACTTCAATCTGGAACACTTTTCAAAGAGTTCTTACATTTTATTCTGTAGTTTAACTCATACTTCTATCATTCTAACTTACTTACTGATTACAGGGTTCGTACATATTTCTGCACACGGAAATTAAGTACTTTTAAGGACATTAATGAAAAAAAATTAAAGACCTATAAACAAATGGGAACAGAATAAATTCAGTTAAAAATATTTTTCTATGCCTGAATTTCACTTTTGTAATATCACCCTAAAAATAAAATAGATTCCTAAGTAGTATGCATTATTACTAAATATCAATTAACATAATTATTAATAAGTTTGAGAATAAAACTTCATGCAGTTTATCAAGTAGCATTAAATATTTTACACTTATAATAGGTAGGACATATCTGAAAGAAGATAAGTCACATTTACGTTTTACTAATAGTTAGCTTTATATTGATTTTTTTTATGTCTCATTTTGTCACATACTTGGTCAGTCTAGAGCAGAGGTTCTCAACCGGTGGTATGTGTACCACTGGTGGTACGCAAGAAGAAAATAGGTGGTACACAAAGAAGCAAAGTATTTTTAACTATTTATTTCAAAAATTAAAACCCCAAACACCCTGATAGAGTTTTTTCTCTAACACTCGCAAATTTATTCGATCTGAGCTTTGTTCAAAGGTAGGACATATTTGAAAGAAGATAAGTCACATTTACGTTTTACTAATAGTTAGCTTTATATTGATTTTTTTTTATGTCTCATTTTGTCACATACTTGGTCAGTCTAGAGCAGAGGTTCTCAACCGGTGGTATGTGTACCACTGGTGGTACGCAAGAAGAAAATAGGTGGTACACAAAGAAGCAAAGTATTTTTAACTATTTATTTCAAAAATTAAAACCCCCAACATCCTGATCAAGTTTTTTCTCTAACACTTGCAAATTTATTCGATCTGAGCTTTGTTCAAGAGTGGTCACGTTAGTCAAAAGGTTGAGAATCGCTGGTCTAGAGGTTTAGCAAATAGCAGGTAGATTTTATGTCAAACGGCATAGGTTAAAATGAGAAGTAAGATCACAATCAGCATCATTCATAACAAGACTGAATGTTATCACCGCTGCTGTTTGTTTAGAGAGAGACTTGCTGATTAGAACAAACCTGAAAGGCCTGATGTAGGCACAGTTGGCAAGTGTTGAAAGTTAGTCAGGTTCTGTTTGATGCAGTTAGTGTCATAGCTTTGTATAGAGTTCCAGGGGTTGTAACCCAGTTAATATACTCTTAGCTTCCTATAAGCCATTAAAGCACCAGAGGTGATAAATTGTTTTGTATTAAGTCTCACTAGATGCAAAAAATATGTTTTACTTGAATTTCTACACTTTTGCATTTTATCTTGTGACTACAGTAAGTATTAATGAAAGGCAATAACTCACTTTAGTATGTACAGATAATTTTTAAGGGTACACAGTTAGTTATAAATAATTAAATTAGGTAAATAGGTAACCTTAGTCTTTATGGATTTACATGACATTTCCATTTATTTTTTAACAATATTTGTTAAATAATCCCTATTAAAATCTAAATCAAATAAAATTTCAAAGTTTAAAATACATGTAATTCATGACACTGATTCTTAAAGGCTATTTAGAATAATTACGCATTACAAGCTACATAACATTTATGTTTTGTAACAAAACTCAACAAAATATTTATCCGTCATTTTAATTTGAAGCCTTACCAAACATTTTGGCTAGTTTATATCGATTTCCTTCTCTTTAAGTAGCTTTCCTAACAATAATTAGAGATTTGTCTCAATATGCAAACCAATGTTCTCGGTAGTTTCTGTGTGCTTTATCTCCTAGCTTGTGAAATTCTCCACAATGTACCTATGAGGGTTTACTTGATCTGGTAAAAGTTAAATAATCCAAAACCCCCAACAGACGTGAAGCAAATTATCACTATGTCTGAAAGTAACTACAATATCAGACAAAGGTTTAAATAAGCCTCTTATTTAAAAAGAACTAAGAACAAGGCATGTTCTCATGCTAACAAAGTAAATTACATTTCACGGTGGCATAATTAAACAAGAACAGTCAAAGTCAAACTAAAAATGTGGACTAGTGGTCAAAGATTATACAATTTAATTTTAATTTAATCTGGCCCAGTAACTCTATCACATGAGGAAACAGTAATGGAAAATTATAGTAAAGGCTGAAATCATAAACAATTGGGTAATTTACATAATAATAACTGCACATATCTTTGAAGAATAATTTTCCTTATGCATTCAGTCTCTTTCTTCAGCACGTTTCCTTTTCATTTTAGAGTTTTTGGATTTAATTAAGGATTTCTGTTTTTCTAAAAAACACTATATATACACTATAAAAAACACTTTCTAAAAAACACTATATAGAATGTATAGAAAAAGTGACTAATTTAATTTCTTTAGTAGTATGGAAAAGAAATATGAAATATATAGTAAATGCCGGTTACAGAGCTGGTGTGGCAGAATTTTTAGAATTTAGTCACACACCATACAACAAAATCTAGAAATGCCAAAACTTTTAGAATTTAGACAGGCACTGCAAGCAGAATTTAGAAAGGCACTTCAAGCAGAATTTAGAAAGGCACTATGCAGTCGAATTTAGGATCCACAGAGATTTCATCAGATGGGAAAATGCCTAGTGCCAGCTCTGTGTATGATGCATTAAGACATATTAGATGGATCTTTTAAATTGCAAGTTTTCAATTTCTTTATTAATAAAAAAAATCTCTTTCTATAATGCCTGCCCAAGTGGTAAGATTAGAAGCATTTTTGATATTTTCCATGCTTGTGTAGAGTGAAAAGTAGAGAATATAAAGGGAAGATAAACATGTTAAGAAAAAGATTCTAGTATCAGGAGTAAAACATTCAAATATTACGTCTTCATTGTTCTTCCAGACGTTCCCCTAAAAGTAAGAAATTTATTGCAAACTTTCTGTAAAGCACATCCAGTATGTCCTGATACCATGGAGACATTTTTCATTTTGTCACATATTTCTCGAATCTTCTAGAATCGTGGGTCTATAAATCTTGCCTTCAAATCCCTCTAAATTTTCCAAGCTGCAATGTCAAAAATACTAAAGAAAAATTATCCCAACCAAATCTGTAACACCAAAAAGCTGGAAATATTTTGGAAAAAAAAAAAAAAAAAAGGGAGGGAAAAGTGTAAAATTAATTTTATAGAGAAAACTGATGCATATTCTGAGAATTTTGAATATTCTGAGACAAGTACATGGAAAAAACGCTTACTATGAAAAAATTAAAAAGGCATTTTTAATTATTTACATAGCTAATTTTGCTTTTGCTATGAGCTGTTTCGTAAATTATGCTTTATAGCATACCTTGTTTATTTTTCAAATTCAAAAATACTGTATAATAAGTTGCCAAAATGGAACTTTATATAATATGACAGCGAAAAATCAAAATGTTTTATTTTAATGTTATTTTTTAAATATAATTCCAATATATTACCATTATTTTAATGAATATTGTCAAAGTTATGATGTTTTAAAAAAAAATCGTTGAAAAATTCTCAGATTTCTGAATTAAAAATTTCCTATAGAAACTGATCTTAAAATCACTAAAATGTTGACAGGTCGCCAAATTTAGAACTGTTTAATAAAAGAATTCACATTTCCAAAAGCGAAAATTGTTTAAGAGCTGTTTATCCCAAAAAATTAATTTTGAAATGCTTGTGTTTCACTTCTTGCTTAAAAACTCGAGTATCCCATCATTTATATTAGAAATAGAAACAAATTATAATACATGAAACCATTCAAAAGATCACCATGTACGTCAGTGAATCGCCAAAAATATTACTCCAAAATGCTAATTCACACTCAAAATGGCAGTCGTAAAAGCAGACAGAAATTTCACTTGATTAAGGACCTTCTACTGTTTTTGGCCAAAATTAAGGACTTTTAAGGACCAAAAATCGATTCCAAAAAATTTAAGGACTCTTAAGGACTATACGAACCCTGTGATTAAACCGCAAACAGATTATCTTTAGCTAAAACAGGAAAAGATATGGCATTAGCTAAATTGAAAATTACCAAATCAGAACATATAACTTCAGATCCAAATAGAAAAGTATTACTATATACATGGAAGGCCAACTTTACAACATATTGTAAAAATCACAATAGAAGATGGTGAAAACAAATAATAAATGACATACAAAAACAGGAGCCATTTTCCTCTTCTGGATTCCCTACATAATGATTTGATTCATCACATCTGTACAAGAAAAGAAACTATGTTAATTAAAGTTGTGATGTATAAATATAAAAATAAATTGGACAAAATAAAAAATATAGCAACATAATACAACATTTTAAATATAATTTTTGATAAAAACATGCTTTTAGGAAACAAATTTGCTGCTTCAAGTCATTTTGAATCTAAAGACTCGAAAGCAAAGACATGAAATTACATTCAGATTGGAGTGATCATCATACTCAAAATGAAATAAAATCATTATAATCTTCACATGGCATTTTAGATTAAAATGCATGTGAATACAGAGACTTAGAATATTATAACCAACAGTTTTTTTTTTTTTTAATAGAAATTTCCACCTGTATGAATCAAAAGCAAACTTAAGGAGAAATAGTGCACAACAGTTTTAAAGAATCACACACTGTATGGTAAATTAAAAGGTTTGTGAAATTAATTATGAAAAGAATAAATGATTTATTTTTACCACCATAATTTGCAATATACTGTATTAAATTATACCTCCTTCTTTATATATATATATTTTTAATATTTAAGATGTGTATATTGTTCATTATATATGTATATGCTTTTATGATGCACACTTGCGCAAAAAAAAGGACAGTTCTACATTTCCCGTTCTACTGGGATGATTGACGAAATTCAACTTGCATTTTTCATGTCTCGAAAGCGTGACTTAAGGTCCATCTACACGTAGATATTTCCTCGGCCGACAATATCTAAGATAGCTCGCCTGTCCACACGGAATGATTTTCTCATTAATACAAGTAGTCACTCAGCCATTCACCGTAAAAAGAAGTGTTCCCGCCCTCTACAGCATCGCTCTGTCTATGGTTTGTAAACAAAGCTTACGGTGTTGTCAAATAATCAAAATAATGGACGACTATTTTACTTTAAATTGCTGCTATAGCTACAGCTACAATTTTGAACTTAGCTACTGCTGCAGGAGGGGGGGGGGAAGCATTTGGACCAGAAATTGGGTTAAACAACGAGAAATTCATGATTCTCCCTGCTCTGGGAGTTGCATATTGAAGACACGATGGAATTCGGAAAGTATTTACGGATGACGCCGTCTGATTTTGATTTTTTGCTAAATTTAGTTTGCAGCAAAATTTTAAAAAATTATGCTTTTCTTTTGTGTACTGAGTGCACAGATTACTCCATTTTTTTTTTATTATTTTTTTTTAATTTCATTTTCTGGTACTACTAATTGCACAGTTAAATCTTGAAATAATAAAATAACCATGTTTCAGAAAAAATAAGAAACTGCTGTGCTTTAAATCAAAACCTTTATTACTGAATAAGTAGATAATAATGTTATGAAAATCAAACCAGTATGAGTAAAAAGTAGTAATAAAGAATAAAGATTACTACATTACCAAAGCAACAGAGTAATTTCAGTGCAATAATTTCAAATGAAAAATATTATAAAGTCTTAAGTAGCATATTTATTGAACATTAAAAAACTAATATCAGCATAATTAAATAACTAATACAATTTGAAAACTATGATCATATGACTCTATCAGTTAATCAGCTAACAAAATTTAGCAATATTGTATTAAATTGAGCTGTAATTTGTTTACACAAAACTGAGTTTGTGACTTTCTTTTGAGTTGGTACGTAACTACTAAAATTTTCACCAGCAGATCTAAAACACGTGCCAAAGGCCATTCGAAAAATAAAAAGAATGGTGTTAAAATTCAATAAACACCACACTCGTAAGCGAAAAAATAAAAACGGACTCTAAGTCATACAGTTCAAAATTAGTGATGGAAAAATGAAATTAAAAAGTTCTTGAAGGTGCAGAAAGTCCAAAATTGAGATGGGGGATCAAGCCCATGATGTCGATGTCCGGAGATAAACCTGATCTACTCTTTAACACTAGGCTATGATTGCTCGCATATGAGTTGTCGGAAAAGCTATGTACTTCGTCACGTGATTAACTCCCATTTTCAACGCAGTCAATGAGTCTCTGCACTGCCTGTAATTTCGCGACTGAAGATTTTGCTTTCTGAATTTTTCAAAATGTGTGACCATAGATTCAAGTAGTTTGAATATTTTCATCTAGTACATGGCATGGTATCATTAATAGTTTTTGGATTTTTTCTTGGGGGAGTAAAAATAATTTTCATCCCGAATAGAAAATATCTGTATATATAAAGGAATGGGGAAGACAAAGCTTACCAACATAAGAGAATCCCTTAATTTTATATTTTTAAAATTTACATGACTCGTGTCCCACAGCACAACATTTTCTCTATAGAAATTAGTTGAAAAATTTGAGTTTCGCTCTAACGAAATACAGCCATGGTTATTATTCCAAATATTGAGAAAAACATGTGATCACTCAAAGCAATCTTATTGGTTAGAGACTCTGATTTTATTGTACGCTAGTGAGCAGTGAACACCAGTTCTGAAATCGTGGCAGAGAACATGACCGATTTTTGGTGCATGGGTAGATCCTTAAAATTGTTGCTCTACCAGAAGGTTTGGCCGATAAAATCGCTTTGTGTAGACGGCCTTTAGGCTATGTATTAGATTTATACATAGCATTGTTCTAATATATGTATTTTGACACAAAATCTGACTTTTTCTGAAATGGCATGCCAATTTTTTCCCTATTTCGATCCTACGACTCAAATTATACCAGATAGCCAAGTTTTGTAAAAATTGCCCAAGTAGTTTTTCAAAATTTTAGCTCCACCATGTTAATTCCATTTGGTATATATTTATTAATAGATCTTTTTCTATTAAACTTTTTTGATTCTTCCTTTCACATTTCGAAATTTAGGTTCATTACAAATGAAATTCACTCATTTCTTATGATTTATTTTTAAAATTTGCATTTTCAAATAATATTTATAAATTTTTCGGAAACATTTTGAATTACAACCTGTAAAATTTTTACCATTATCATAAAGTAGATGTATTTCTTAGCATACCAACAAAAAATTAGTTTTTCATTCAAAATTTCCTAAGATATACATGAATTTATATATTGGCACATTCTGAAATTTGTCATATTTGTTTATAAGGGATAATAAAGCAAAATGTGTTTTATGCACTGTGTCAAAATTATTTGAAAGTTACTGTACAATGAAAACAGGAAAGGAAAATAGGTTGTTATTAATTAAGAAGTTCGCCAAGTGAATTATTCTTGGTGCACACTAAAAAAATATGCCAAGATAAGTTTTTTAATTTCTCTATAAATTCCCCACTATATTTTACAAAAATTAATACTTAGCAGGGTTGCCACTCAAACAGGAGAATGAAATTCCCTGACTTTTCCAGGTTTTCCAGGTGCGTTTCAAGAAAATTCCAGTCTATACGCGTAATGTACGTTGGCTACGCTAAGAGGTAAATTATGGTATTACTTGTATTATGTAGCAAATTCACTTAATTATTCAATAAATCCCAGAGGACATTTATTCTTAATTATTCTTGGTATACTTTGTTTGATAATTTTGTTTACTTTTCCACTTAAGAAACTTAATAAAATTTAAGATATATACATTGGATAACAAATGTATGTTTTATTTAATTATTACTCATGATCATCACCAGTTCAACACGAGGCTAATCCGGTCCTTATAAATCACAACGCAATGCTAAATAGTTAGGTTAGATTTTAGGTAAATTTAATTTGTGTGAGGTATGTTCTTAAAAAGCACCTTAACACTTGAAAACACAAATATAATTATAATAGTTGTTATTTTCTCCATTGAAGATTGAGATTAGAATCTTCCCAATCTGGAATAAAATAAGGCTTTTTTTTTGCAGACATTCTGCAGCTAAACGAAAGAAAGAAATCTATTTTAATAAATTGAGGTATTTTATATTTAGTTCGCAGCATACATAAGAAAAAATATGTGCATTAAATTTCGTGATGGTATGTCATCATACTGCTAGATTCATTAGATTATGCCAGAGAAAATTTCCTGAAATTTAGAAATATTATTTACTAATAATTAATAAATTTAGAGGGAAGAAGCATCATTAAATTATACGAATAACATAAAAATAAAGATAATTACTTAAAAATTGAATTAGAATAATCAACGATATTTTAGCGAATATAGTTATATTACATGGTTAGCCTAGATGACAGATTACTATTTTTTATTTTACTGCAAAATGGCAAGGTATTTATTAAAAAGAAAAGTTTAAAAAGATTTTGCTGTAAAATTCTAGTATACGGTAAGGCTTTGGCACGATTTTGAAAATTGTCGCCAAGGCCAAACTGACCCGTTTACTGCGCATCATCATGTCGCCAAATCCATACATGGAGATTATTTTAACCTGGAGGTTAAAAAACGTCTATGCAAAAAAAATCTCTAATTCTTTGAATGTCTATGTAAAGAAGAAAATTTTCCATACAAGTAAAATGCTATTACGCCGCTAGAATGCGGAGGGAAAATTTGCCAAGGGATTTGGCGGACGGAACCTGGCGGCCAGAATTTCCCTCTCCGCGATGTGTACCGGAAATTGAGAAACGTGTTAAGAAGAAGAAACGTTCTTTGACAAAAAGGAAGCTGCGAAAATCCGTTTTAAATTATTGCGAAAAATCCAAGAAGAAACGTTTTATCAAAGGACGTTTCTTCTTGGATTTTTCGCAATAATTTTAAAAACGGATTTTCGTAGTTCCCCCCCCCTGAAAATTACTAACCTATGAATTAATTTACTTGCGCCAAAAAATATTTTCTTTTAATTTGGAGTTTAACTACTTGCGCTAAGACTAAACTTCACGGTTGCGGTGCCGTGCGCTACAATATAGCAAGTGGTAAAGTGTCTCATTTACGCCGCTCCGCATCTGCGAGTGCAATCCAGAGCTGTAACTCGAGAAATAAACAGTCTCGTTGTTAGGCGACGTGTGCACCATGTTATTTTCATTTTTGCGATAAATGCTTATCGACGTGGTGTTCACGTCGCTCGCAGTTTGAGACAAAAGGCACGTCTTTTTAGCGCAAGTGGTTAAAGAAATTTTAAAGGATATTCAT